CTTCCTTTCTTCCTTCCTTCCTCCCTCCCTCCCTCCCTCCCTCCCTCCCTCCCTTCCTTCCTTCCTTCCTTCCTTCCTTCCTTTCTTTCTTTCTTTCTCTCTCTTTCTCCCTGTTTTTTTTTTCAGTTTACGTTTTTACGTGTTCTCTGAGATACCCCCAAACAAATATGATTGACTGACATGTAGAAGTTTTCCTATCAGTCAACTGGGGGGAGCCCTTAAATGGCTAGAAGACCCCCCTCCCATTTTTTTCTATGTTCTGGGGTCTGCGGCAGCAAAGAAAACTGCGGGGTCCCCTTCCGAATGTCTTTCACAGATCAGAGGCGTCGGAAATGAGGGCTGTTAATTATGCTTTTAAGTAGCCTAATTGCAAGCCATGTTTAACGTAGTGAAAAATGTGTGGATTGATAAACACCTTTTTCCTCCCCAGCCTGGAATGAAAAAGACCAAAAAGCAACATGCCTGGTGGGCAAAAAAAAACACGACGACAACATAGTCTCAATAGAAACCTTTATTTTAATTTCAGTTTGGCTGTTTTAACCATGCCACATAATAGGAAAGATTCTCAACAACGAAAAGCTGGATTAAGACAAGGTAGTCTTTGTCCTTTGATATTTTGGGGACATCCCTCCTCCTTATAAATTAAAGGCACTTGAAGGAATCGCAGGGCTTTGCTCCATGAAGTAAGAAAAATAAATGTTGCTAGTCCTCTGTAAGAATAGGTCAAGCAGTCAGGTGAAAGAGAAAACAGGAGCGGGCGTAGAAAGTGGAACACATTACAGGGAGTTCATTTACCTCAGTTCATTTAGGAACAAATTAGAGGGAGTTCATTTACCTCAGTTCATTTAGGAATAAATTACAGGGAGTTCATTTACCTCAGTTCATTTAGGAACAAATTACAGGGAGTTCATTTACCTCAGTTCATTTAGTCACCGTTCTGAACGGCACTGAAAAGTGACTTACGACCGTTTTTCCCCACTTACGACCTTTGTAGCCTCCCCACGGTCACGTGATCAAAATTCAGACGCTTGGCAACCGACTCATACTTATGACCGTTGCGGTGTCCCACGGTCACGTGATCCCCTTTTGCGACCTTCTGACAGGCAAAAATCAACGGGGAAGCCAGATTCACTTAACAGACGTGTTCCTAACTTATCAACTACGGTGATTCCTAGTAACAACTGTGGCAAGAAAGATCGTAAAAGGGGGGAAAATTCACTTAGCGAATGTCTCACTTAACAACATTACATCATTAAGTTGAGGACTGCCTGTATAGCGATGAGGCTCATGGAAAATGAATGCCGGTATTTAACCGCTGCGGCTCGGCCTTCCTGCTGAGGAACGAAGAGACCGTTTGTGTAACCCTTGAGTTGCGGATTTTGGAAGTGCCCAAGGTGAATCTGCGTGTCAGGGAAGAATAAATTACATTTCCTAAGACAGCAAGGTATCCATAGCTGTCTCCTATCCTCCTTCAATGATGGCTGACAGCCTTGGATAGCTGTGTCATCTGGATTGTCCAGTTTAGCGGTGGTATCTTAAGACAGGGCTATCCATCAAT